TTAAATAGCATTTTGAAATCATATTCATATTGATATACAAGACATCACCCACCTATATGTAATTGTTATAATGTACAAAACTACAATGCAACACTACTTGCAAAAGCAACACTATAGAAAGCCTATTCACACTAAAAAACGTATGACACTTACTAGGACAAGATAAATGATCAAATTGTATGTGGAGACTTTCATTTTTTTTTTTTGCATGAAAACCAAGTAAAACCAACCAAGTCCACCCAAGAATAATGGTGTGACTTAGAGCAAGTGGTTACTTACCATCTCTATTCCTCATAATGTTCTAAACTCCCAAAAAGCAATATGCCATTAGACATGTAAAATCTTAACAACTCGAAAGCCATTCATCTGTTAAGCTTTGTAAGCAAAACACTTACATTGAGAATTCACATACTCTAACATCATTCATCAAGAAAAATCCTACTATTTAATCAAACCAAACATAGTACTACTTTAAATAAACCAACTTTATGAGACATAATAATTGAAATAAACAAAGTCTGTAAAACATAAACTAAATATGTCATGTTTGAGATTAGGAAGAATATTAATCAAGAGACATTCTCCTCAATTGGAAAGCTCTTTGCAATTTTGATTTTATTTTCTTTCTTTATTTTCTTTTCTTCTTTGGTCTAACAACAGTTTTTTTAACTTGTGAAGCTCCATTAACTCTCTCTTTATCTTCTATTTTCTATTTTCTATTTTCTCTCGCTGTTTGTCCTCCTATCCTCTATTTCTCTATTGTTTCTCTATTCTTCCCCTCTCTTTTAATATCTCTAGTTGCTCCTTTTTTCACTCCATTTGAGAACACCTTAAGCTGAAGATGAATCCTCATCTTGTAGTCAATTTTTGCCTCTTTCGTGTGACTACTCAGTTAAGCCTTGGTCTTCTTCCTCCAACCTTCAATAGGAACCTTGCCAAATTTTAATCATAAAAAATTAAGATGGGAATGAAATAAACTTAATCACAAAAAATTAGATTCTAGTTATGTATGTTACATAGTACATGCATTGTTTTATAAGGATAGTCACATGAACACAAAAATTCCACATAAATGATGGTTAGCAATGATAAAGTGCGACACATGTCTTCTCGAAAAAGGTCTCTTCCAACTAAGGGATTTATATGTATTAATTAGTTGCGAGAGTCAGACAAGTTCTGACACCATATTTTGATATTGAAGTATTTGTAAAAATAGATCAAATGCCACTCCAAATATTGTATATATTAGAAGTTGGAATTGACATGGGGATCACGTGCATCATGATGGAGGAAGACTTAAAAACTATTTTTTCTTTGATATTATTTAAGGCTTTCTCTTTAAATGAAGTGAATTTGTTGATAAGAGATGCTATGGACTTAGTTCCTTTGTTTGAATATCCCCTATTCATTAGGTTCCTATAAGTGTAAATCGTGCATATCTCACATCTTTAGTTAAAGAGTGGTATAGGTTTATGTGATGCCATTAAGATGAGTCATAAGCTACTTATGTTTTATTTTTCTTTTTCTGCTCCATTACTTAGAGCAAGATAGATATTGTACACTATGTTGGAGTTATGAAAGGAAGAATTTCTCTAGAAAAATTGATTCCGAAAGAATTTTAACTGTTACTTAAATACTTTTATCCTTGAAACTGAAATAATTTGAGAATTATTGTTAAATTTGCTATAACTTTCTTCAGGAACTTCAAATTAATCATGATTTGTTGAATTATTTTTGAGAGACATAAGATATATTGAATTTAGACATGATTAAAGGTTAACAATGTATATTATAAGTGGAATTTAGTTCGAGCTGATAAAGAACAATTGAGTTAATTTGCTATTGTTTCAACCCAAGCTTTAGTTTGGAGTTTTTGATAATGCACTTATGTCAATACACATTGTTCTAATTGAATTTACATGTCTGCAAGTTGAGACAAATATAAAATTACAGTTATATTTTAAAACATTATCTTTAATAAAAAATAAAATTTAAAATTTATTACATGTTGTAATATAATTTAAAAATTTTAAATCTTTCCTACATTGTATGTAATATATGTTTGAATTATATTTCAACAAAAGAATCCTTGAAGAAGCCTTTAATATTTTGTACTGTGAGTATGACAATTACCTATTTTCATCGATTTAAAGAAAATAAATGTGGGAATTAAAATAGAAGAAAGATCAGAGAAGCACACTTAGTAGTGATAACGTAGAACGAGGTAACACAAATCCACGGAGTTATTGACGGTGTTGTAGGGGCTTCTTCCACGTGTAACAATAAAAATCCATCACGTGTCAAAAATGATGACGTCATCTTCCCTAGATTTAATGTCATCGTACGGCACCTGTTGTTTGCTAGGCCGTCTATTTTATCCTCGCTCGTTGAATATTTTAGCTCATAAAAGCGGCAAAAAGCTTAACTGCTGCTTCTCCCACAAAACTTCGCTTTCTCACTCTCTCTGTCTCTGTCTGTCCGTCTCTCTCTCTAGATTTAAGCTGAAACTGCAAGAAAGAGATCTCTGGAACTTGTTAGCGAAGTAAGGAAGTCTCGGGAGAGCAAGCATTCTAGGGTTTTTACATTTTATTGATAGCAGCACGTGCTCTTCTTTTCTCTTATATATTCAAAATTATCTGGATTTCGTGCTCCTTTACGCGTTTGATGTGCGGAAATCTTAGCTGAGAGCTAATGCGGTTAACGAATCACGCTCTCGTCAAGATATTAACTTGAATTTCATTTAAAAGTTTTGTTCATATTTTTTTGAATGTTCAGTTCTTCGCTGGTGGTGTGTTTGTTGGGGAACTCACAGTTTGTCAATGTTGAATATGTTTGGTGTGAAATAGAAAATGCACGTGGTACAGTGAGCGGAACTTGATTTCTATATAGTTTTCTTCTTTTTTTTAATGTCTTTCTTGGTGAAGAGAAAATATCCATTTTGGATATAGTGTGAAAATGCCGAGAGAGAAATTGAGGGGAATACTGTTCAGGAAGTTATTCAGTTTAGGAGTGTGCTTTCGGCATTCATCAGGAGAAGATCATGCTCGAATTGGTCAGAAAGGCTACTCGAGGGTGGTATATTGTAATGATCCAGACAACCCTGAATCTATTCAGCTCAACTATAGGGGAAATTATGTATCCACAACGAAATATACGGCAGCTAATTTTATTCCCAAGTCTCTGTCTGAGCAGTTTAGGAGGGTTGCCAACATATATTTTCTTGTTGTAGCCTGTGTCTCGTTTAGCCCACTGGCGCCCTATTCTGCACCTAGTATTCTTGTTCCTTTGATTGTGGTGATTGGAGCTACCATGGCCAAGGAAGGCGTGGAAGATTGGAGAAGAAGAAAACAGGTACGAAGATTTCAACTTCTTTTGTGTGGTCCAACATCATGCTTTCGTATTGTTTGCTCTGTCTCTTCTCTTTAAGTTGCATTCCAGTGGCTTCAGTGTTGAGGTTGGATATCTAATTGCTTGAGTTCTGCATTGGTTCCAACTATCTAACACTATACAAATGACGCAAAATCTAATGTCCTAAGGGCCTGATAGATGATGGTAGACTGAAATTGTGGTTTGGAACATGCTATATATTTATTACCTCAATGCGATTTAACCCTGAAATTTTTTTTGAGAGGTGATTCAACCCTGATATTAGTTGAGTCCATGACTTTTTTTGAATGTATAGTTAAGTCTGTGAGTTTATTACAGAGCTTTAGTATGTGGTTAACAGAGTACGAAAAGAAAAAAGCTAACGCGATTAAGATTATTTATATCATTATGGCTTAAGCTCATTTTTTATTGTCAGCAATGGTAAAGTTCTCACTTAATTTAATTGATAGGGCCAGAGTTACTAATTTATAAAGCTAAAATTATTTTTCTACATTATTATGGGTCAGAATAACCTTTTATTATGATTAATGGGTCAAGCATATTGTTAATGGGGTCAAATTTACCACAACATATTCTTAAAATTATATTTTTATTAAAATTATGTATACATAATATATATATATTTTTTTTAAATCAATTAATGCCACTTGAAAAATGGAGGAGCCGCAACTTTTTCCTAGGTACTTTTATGGGGTGCAAGTATCCACTATTTCCAAAATATAATCAACCTTGTACGTTAATGGTCACAGTTATTGTTATTATCCGTGATTTTTCATAAATTTGTTTTCATAATTTGGAATGAACCTTAAACAATTCCATATTCAATGAACCAATTCTGAAAAGATGTATTACTATCATCCCATTTTGCAGTATGTGGTGTCGGAACTGCTAGATAAAAACAACATAAAGAAAGTGATAGACATTTAGGTAAAATAAAATGCATCCCCATGTTTATCAAGTCATGCATGTGTTGTTCCATATGTTGATTGGTGAATTTTCCGCCGATATATTCTTTTACTGGGTGTAGAGTTTGGTCATTCTATTAGTATTCGTCCTAATGCTTCTCTCTGTTGCAATAGTTTAGGCAGTTGAGCTACCTCTTCTTTAATGACTCCAAAGATGTTAGATTTACTTTTTCTTTTTTTTTTTTCTTGCTTTGGTGGACTTTGGATTTTCCCATCTTAATTGTGTGGATCTAACATTTTCAGATTTTGTTGACGCAGTGGCTGTCCATTGTTTCTGGACATGTAAATACGTATATTAGTTGTGTTAGATTCGTAAGGTTTACATGTAATTTGGTTTTAATATTGTCTTTCTTCATGAAAGATTCTTTCTTTTGCAGTAATCTAAGTGAGTTTTTTTTTCTCTGCCTTAGATTTCATGCTTTTTTATTTCCTTCAGACATAATTTCTGTAGAAGTCATGGATAAGCTTCAATTGTTTCAGGACATAGAGGCCAATAATCGAAAGGTTATGGTGTACAGAAATTATACCTTCACTGAGACAAAATGGAAGAACGTCAGAGTTGGTGACCTTGTCAAGGTGTATAAGAATGAATATTTTCCTGCCGACCTGCTTCTGCTCTCATCAAACTATGAGGATGGGGTTTGTTATGTTGAGACGATGAATCTTGATGGAGAAACCAACCTAAAATTGAAGCATTCCTTAGAGGAGACAGCGGTTCTACGTGATGAAGATCATTTCAGAGATTTAAAGCGTTAGTCAAGTGTG